TAGGAGGCAGTCATCCAATGTTGTCCATGTACATTTCAACCGTTTGAACCAACCGGATGAAATTCATGCAAATACGACGAATTTCATGTAAACCGGATGAAATTTATTACATTTCGAAGATTTTTCACATGAACCGAACAAAATTCATTACATTGTTTGTATAAACCGCCAAACCCTACTCTAAATGATCGTCCGTGCTAATTCCCCATGTCTAGCCATGAGCCCCGAGAACTAAAGCTCTGGCTATTGCCTTTGCCTTCTCCAGTTTCGCCTTGGCGCTCTCCAACTCCACATCCGGAGCCCCGCGGCCTTCTTGGGACTCGAGCGGCGGCGACCTACCATGCACTATTCCTCCTTGCTGCCGGCGGCGCCCACAGGCGTGCCTGCTTCGTGGTCGTGGCAATGGGGCATGGCCAGGGTGGAGGTGGCATTGTCCTCCTCGTCATCGCTCTTGCCTCACACCTCATCTGCCGCCACGTCGAACTCCCTGTAGGCGGCCGCCAACTTCGCTTGATGGAGGCGGTACTGCCAATGGTCACAGCGGATGTCGCGGGCGGAGCGATATGAGTCGACCAACGCCTCCTACCCTGCCACGTCCATGTCCGACACGATGGCCGTGCCGGCGGCAAGTTGCTCCTCCGTGCACTAGTGCTCCTCGAGGAGGCCAAGAGGTTGTACGCCTGGTCGGCTCGCGCCTGCCGGAACTTGGCCTCCTCCTCCCCCCGCAGCATGCTCGTGTAGTGTGCATAGGCCTCGCCGATGCTGAGGTCCGCACACACAGGAGAGGAGGGTGGCACCAACCTCCATTAGGGTGTCGCCGGCCTTCGTCTGCTGGCCAGCCTGCCAACCGGAAGCAACGGCGGCCATCTCCTTCTGCTCCGAGGAGAGCGTGTCCCAGAGGGATTTGGAGTGCGAGGAGGCCCCGACGGGTGTGGTGCAGAGAGGAGAAAGGGGCTGGAGGAGGATGAATGCGGCTATAGTCGGGGTTGGCGTTTATATAACAGGCGGATGGCTATGGACCGCGGCGGTGAGGTTAATGGTGGGCGGTAGACGGATGGACGGGTGGCGCCGAAGTAGGTTCCTCAACAATCATGTATCATTAATGTAGGGGCGACTGACTGACGGGGTATCATTTGAATGCTGAGCAATCGCCTCCATCGGGAAGCGGCGCGGGCAGCACTCTCTCAACCGGCGCTCCACTACAATGCTGACAACGGTGAGAGGTCGCGGCCGCTCTAGCCGGGCATGAATGATGTACTGACGCTCTGGAGCGGCGTCAAGTGTTTCGGGCGGAAAGCGCGCGGGTGAGAGAGGGATTTTCAGTGGGCCTAGGCAGTCAGACGCGGACATGACAAAAAATGCGTCCGGACCGCCGAGCAGACTGGTATAGACTCGCGTTAGATGGCACAACACGTCCGAACCACGCGATCTAGGCGGTTGCGGGTGGTTTGATGGTCCGCGCTGTAGATGGCCTAATGCCTCACAAGAATAGGAACCATGGATGATGAAGAGAAGTATAGGTTGAAAGGATCCGACGTGTAGACACATAAACGAAGAAGAACAAAAACTAATTCAAGTAGATCTCCTGAAGACCAGCACCAAACCGAATCCTGTAAAATCCGTCGAAAACACACTTCCACGTGCCTTTCAATGACGCTAGACGCATTACCACAACGGAGACTTGATGGGGAGAAACTTATCATATTTTCAAGGAGCTACCACCGCCTCATTTTCAAGCTCCAAATGAACTCATATAAAAACACCTAAAAAACAAGCAAGATCCCTCCGGTGCCCAGGGCTGTTCGATTTCGTATTGGTGTAAGGTAGATCTTTCCTTCGTCCAAGGGTCGCTACGGAGCTGTTCGATTGCGAGTTGGGTGTTTTTTTTTCTTTTTGTGTATAGATATACAGAAATAAATATTTGCTGTTATCTTTTAAGTTTTCTGGTTAGCAGATAACTTTTGCTGCAGCCAAGTATGTGTAGTCCAACTGGTGAATATCACAAATTAAATCTTAAATCCTAATTTCTACCAACATCTAGCAGCAGGATTTTAAGTGGCATGTGACAAATTAAATCTTAAATCCTAATTTCTACCAACATCTAGCAGCAGGATTTTAAGTGGCATGTGATGTTTACTGTAACACACTTTAAGGGATAGCTTCTACAACCGGACCTCTTAAACCCGCCTCATACACCCGGGCGGGCCACCCGGTCACTACCCAGTCATGATTTTTTGACCCAGACAGGCCTCTCAAACGATACTCAAATGCCCGGACTGACTGGCACCCCCCATATCCAGCCCAAATATGAGGCGAATGTGAGGCCGTCCGGGCACGCCCGTCACGTCGGATCCGACAACCTGAAATTGCACCAAATCCACCAAACATTTTCTCCTCCTCCCGCTGCCCTCCAACCATTCCGCGCCCGGACCCTCACCGGCCTCCAACCTTGCTCCCAATCCTCATCTCCGGTCCCTATCCACCACCGGAGATGTTGTCCAGCCCGACCCACACCGCCGCGACGGAGATGCAGTCCGCCTCGTCCGTCGGAGGCGTGATTTCGTCGGCGGCGACTTGCAAGGCGGAGAACGTCGCCCGCAAGTTGCGGCGACGCCGGCAGCGAGAGAGGGAGGCGGCGGCAGCGTCGTAGGGAGGTTCGGATGTGGTGGACTAGCTGTCTCCTTCGCCGTGCCCGGATCCCCGCACCACTTCCCTTCAAGCGCTTATGCGGATTACGCTGTCCGATCCCCATGGGACACAGGATGATCCGAGCACCGGCTGGGCCATTCCGGTGAGCTTTCCGCCCACGCAGATGTCGGGGGTCGACGTGTGTGACTCGCCGCAGCTTGTTCGGGCGCAGATGAGCATGTGCTTCGGTAGTGCCCGGGCTGCCCTCAACCTGTTCGACGAAATGACCGAACAAGAGTCGGTGCATTTTCTTTGCTCTGTTCCGGTCATATTTTAGCATAGACCACTAGTTCATTTCACTCATGATGAATGCTTGCAAATCTTAATCATGTAGGAGGCGTTCTTGTCGAATATGATCAATGACAATGAAGAACCGGCCGAAATGGAGTAAGAATTGGAGGCCGCCACACATTTGAAGTTGGGACACCATTCGATCCCAATCCGAGCAAGAAGAAGAAGACCAAGACACCGAAGGCAAGAGGTCTGGCATTCTCAATATCTGAGAACATCTTGTTGGTCAAAGCTTGGTTGGCCACAACGATGGATCCAATATGTGGCACCCAGCAAAAGGGGAACACCTATTGGACGAAGATTTGGAAGGAGTATCACGAGCAAAAGGAGAATGTGGAGCCGCATCCTATCATGACCACTTGCAATGTGGCATCCCTCCAACATCGTTGGGGGATTATTCAAGGGGAAGTGAACAAGTACGTCGGCTACTACTCACAAGTGACCAAACACCCTCAAAGTGGGATGGGAGTCAACTCACGTAAGATCGATTGCCTCATCTTGTCATCCATTGTATATGCTTCTGAAGGAAATATGCCCTAGAGGCAATAATAAAGTTATTATTTATTTCCTTATATCATGATAAATGTTTATTATTCATGCTAGAATTATATTAACCGGAAACATAATACATGTGTGAATACATAGACAAACAGAGTGTCACTAGTATGCCTCTACTTGACTAGCTCGTTAATCAAAGATGGTTATGTTTCCTAACCATGGACAAAGAGTTGTTATTTGATTAACGGGATCACATCATTAGGTGAATGATCTGATTGACATGACCCATTCCATTAGCTTAGCACCCGATCGTTTAGTATGTTGCTATTGCTTTCTTCATGACTTATATATGTTCCTATGACTATGAGATTATGCAACTCCCGTTTGCCGGAGGAACACTTTGTGTGCTACCAAACGTCACAACGTAACTGGGTGATTATAAAGGTGCTCTACAGGTGTCTCCAAAGGTACATGTTGGGTTGGCGTAGGATTTGTCACTCCAATTGTCGGAGAGGTATCTCTGGGCCCTCTCGGCAATGCACATCACATAAGCCTTGCAAGCATTGCAACTAATGAGTTAGTTGTGAGATAATGTATTACGGAACGAGTAAAGAGACTTGCCGGTAACGAGATTGAACTAGGTATTGAGATACCGACGATCGAATCTCGGGCAAGTAACATACCGATGACAAAGGGAACAACGTATGTTGTT